TAAATGACGGTCTTACCGCAATACCATGTCAAACCCATATCTGTGCTACAGAGGTCTAACGCATGGCGTTCAGGGAAACCATCCTCACTCTTCATCCTAGTGACAGGCTAAGGGGAGCCGGCTCAGCGAATAGCGCGCGAGGAATAATTAGACACGGAAAACCGATTAATTTATTATTTCAAATGTTGCCGCAGTTCATGCATTGAGGCAAAAAGATAGGATCGTTTGAATCATGGATCATTTGAATTTTGCAGGAGTTATTTTTGAATTTGCAGCAGATTAAATATGTGGCATTTTACATTCGAATTCAATGTACTGAGCGGTAAATATCTTTTGACTGTCTGCATGGATTAATTCAATTCCCTTGTTGCTCATTTGAAGGTTAATAACTTTACCCTAAGGTAATTTCTCTTTAGTGTGAAATAAGGAGTTTAGCACAGGAATTGTGCATCATTCCAGCTGCAGTTGTGCTTTTTTTAATCGGGATTTTCCGTATAGATTCTTCTGCTGGTATTAAATGGCTCGTCCTGAATGCATTTCTCAGAAAGCACCCCCGTCGCTGCAAGGGAGGCCTCAGAAAGCTGTCGCAGCTTTTTTTGTTTGTAATATGCAATCATCTGTAATCAACTTTGCGGAAGATAGTACGATATTCATAAAATGGGTGAGGGGGAGGGCAGATCTGCACGGTGACACATGCCACGTGCTTTGAGTGGGCGGGGCCTGGCTCGTTCCAGGCATGTTGTCCAAGTGGCGCTATATACTGCCATCTGAAATGTCTGCTTCGTATCTCGGGGTCAGTTTCTCCTGTAAAGTCTGCGTCAGCTCAACCCTTTGATTAGGTTAATGAAACCCTTAGAAGGTGAGGGTTTTGGTCTGTTCGTAAAAGCGCGAGGCCTGTTCCGGAAATTGCCGCCAAATGATATCGTGTTTCAGACCGTGATTATGTTGTCAGCGTGCTCTGTGATTATGATGAGCGAGGACCGCGGCCGCCCATCAAAGCTGAGCCGAGGCAGGTGAAGCTAGGCTTTCCGACTCGGAGATGTGTGAGCAGAGCAGGATCAATCTAGGTCAGTGTTTCCCAATCCAGTCCTCAGGGACCCACAGACAGGGAGACCCTACGGGGAGCAAAAACATGGACTGTCTGGCTGGAAGCTCAGAGGGAGCGAAAACATGGACCAGCTGTAGGTCTCCGAGGACCAGATTGGGAAACACTGATCTAGGTTATGAAACTGAGGGCAACAGCTCTTCTTCACGCCTTACTGCTTGCTGTGCCACTGCGGACTCCACTGTTCCTCATAAATGACATGTCTACAGTGCTCTGTTGAAGTAGAAAGGGGCACCTCCTCAAACCGTGAGCTTAAAATCCCAGTGTCAGCACAGCCAGTGAGCAGGTCCTTGCCGGACTCCACCTTCAACACGCGCCGTTGGTGTTTTGTAGCCGAAGGGTGTTAAACACTTCACAGCTGAAATGGGCGTAGGCTGACGTCCTTGGAGCTCCCCGCTCTTGCTCGAGCCATTCTCTTGTTTATGTGTACACCCTGACCCCTGGGTTTCCTCTGCAGGAGTGGATAAATTAGCACCGTTCGTGAGGCCACGTGCATTTTAGGGGATGCGTGACGGAGGTGCCAGGCAGTCTGTGTCTCACCGACGCACTGACAACCGCGTGCGCAAGGACACACGTGGATTTCGGTGTAGGTCTCGCTTCACGTCTCCGTCGAGCTGTCGGGTCGGGTGTCGGCACCGTGCCGTTCCGCCTGCGCTTGGTGCAGTGGGGCTGTCAGCGTGGCGGACTGAGACGTCGGGGGATCCGGGCCAGGGACACAGCTAATCAAGCGGGTGTTACTCAGAAAAAAATGTTCTCAGCTGACAAGCACACACAGCAGCGCAGTGCCTTTGAAGTTCCGGCTTTTTCGGATTCTCACTGTGAAAAAGCCGACTGAAGATACCAAAGCAAGACACTATGTAAACAAGGAAGCCTGTCATGAATTTTCTAGAAAGAGCTCCTAAGCAGCTCTTCCTGATGGATAGCCTTCGATGACTTTGGGTTCCAGTTGCTGTTTAACTGTGTGTACTTTCTGTGTAGCTAAGGGGGGGGGGGGGGGGGGTTGGGAGGTGTCAGCCATCTCCCACATGTAACCAAGAGATACCCAAACAGAGAGAGGACAGAACCCAGCTCTCCATGCCGTCCTCGCTCCCCTGATTCCAGCAGAGCCTTGTTCCATTCCCGGGGATTTTCTTTGTTGATGGTTAAGCCTCCTTTCACGCAAATGTGCACAAATTGCACAAATTAGTGTTCCCGGATCACCTAAAAAAATTGCACGTCTTCGGATGAATTTGAAGCACCTAGGGGATGCCCACAGACCCAGGAAACGTGCACAGATCTAGGCCGACACCATGCCTGCAGCACCACCCATAGAGCCACACAGCACCCTTTGCTGGGAAAAACGTAGCCCCTTAACCACACAGAGGACTTTGCTCCTGCCGAGGCTAAATTTAATCCATCAGCACTGAGTCAAAAGCAGAGTTTCTGTGAGTTAATTCCTCACCTCCTCCAGTGCTCACCCCATTCTCTTAAAACCACGTCGCTATCCCTAAATCCAGCCTCATTAATAGTCTGCTGTATTAAAACGTAAATCTCAAATTTCCATCGCACTTCATAGTCTTAGCCAAATTGCTAACGGACGAGGCTTTCCTGCATCCCTGTCCTTAATTCTGGGTTTAAATGGTTGATTAAGCGGCCATGACTCAAGCCCTTGATGAGCGTATGGGTTAAACGCTTTCGGTGATTGCTCGGCCATTCTTGCCATTCTAATTGAAATCCCAATGTGCACCTACTGCATATTAATTAAAATACAGAGGTTAAAGGCCTATGGGGATACCATTTAAGTTCTCATTAAATTTTAATAACATTACTTAATTATTATTATCATGTTGTGAATCACATTGTGGGATAAATAAGATGATTAAGTGGATGTCTTCTTGAGAGCAATAATAAGTTGTTAATGCATGCTATTGAAATACATATTTTGCATCTTTTATATTCTATTTTGGGGTTATTTTTTTCCAGAATCATTAGTAATAAAGTAATCGTAATTGATATATTGTACGCAGTAAACAGAAAGAATGTATCGTTTTGTTTTGTGTAAATGACGGAAATGATGCATTGTCATAATTTGTGACTGTTGGGGGGGGGGGGGACCCTCCCATATGGAAAGCTGTGTGAAAACCCAGCCCAGCCATCCCACCCCCCAACCCACATCTACACACGATAGTGTAAAGTAGGCTGCTTCTTTCCCAGCTGACATCATTCACCTTGGAGTTTGACTAATGACATGGCGTCACCCCACTCCAAGTCGCCGCCTTCTGCTATTTGTTTCCCTGACTTGGCTCTTTCAGCTGTGGGGCAGCTGCTGGCAGCTTCTGGCCAAGCCTCCGAACACGGGGTCGGGGCAGGTTTACAGGAACACAGGGGGGCCGGGACACTCCAGGGGCGATCCGTTGCCGTTCGTATCCAGAAATACGTTGCGGCTATAAATCACTGCCCGTGGCCTGGATGTGAGGACGTTACCCACATGGATCGAGGTGTGACATCATCGGATCGTCCGTCGCTATGAAACTTCCGGAAGGTTCCATTTGCTGGTTGGGCGATGCCTACTGCTTCACCTCTGTTCCCATGAGGGCCTTCCCTCATATTTTTTTCTCTTGCCCTGTTATCCACAGGCTGGAGCACACATTGTCGAATTAGATGGTTTTTGCCGAATTGCGATCGGCGCATCAGACAGTCGCTTTTATGTGACCGTTGTGATGTGTGGTTTCCGGGAGCCGGGACAGAGGGCCAAAGGCGAACCCGCCGCTGCCTCCTGGGAGCTCTTCAGCGAGAAATGGCAGCTGCCCTGGGGGAAATCAGCGCTCAATCAGCGGGAGTTCCTCTGCTACAATACAGACACCGTCCTGTTTGATGTCCCCTGTCTCTTCATGTGTTGCGTGGCCTTTAATGTCCAGAGTGATACAGTCCTCAGTGAACTTCAGTGATGATTCTGCCTCCTGTTTTTAGACAGAGCTAACCCTGCAGCTCACCAGCAGTCTGTGTGTGTGTGTGTGTCTGTGTCTGTGTGCGTCTGTGTGTGTCTGTGTCTGTGTGCGTCTGTGTCTGTGTGCGTGTGTGTGTGTCTGTGTCTGCGTGTGTCTGTGTGTGTGTGCGTGTGTGTGTGTGTGTGTGTCTGTGTCTGCGTGTGTCTGTGTGTGTGTGTGTGTCTGTGTCTGCGTGTGTCTGTGTGCATGTGTGTGTGTCTGTGTGCGTGTGTTTGTGTCTGTGTCTGCGTGTGTCTGTGTGCGTGTGTGTGACGGGGATTTTGACGGGGTGTATCTGCAGGTGAATTTGTACCTCCGTTTTGGGTACGACTTTATTTTTCAATGCACTCCCGGTGTGTATACTTGTGTAAATCGACCTACATGTTCGCCTGGTAATTAGACCTTCTCGGAGTGTATCCACACTGTAATATAATGATTCTGTCAGGTTTTATAGTAATAGCAATAACAAATAAGGCAAAGCTCTAACAATTTAAAAATATTTTTGGTAGGGTAGTAAACATGTGTTACCTTGGAGTGCATTGGTGTAAATGTCAGACAGTGACACGTGGCCCCCCCCTCCCCATTCTTCACATCATCACAGGAGGAGTCAATTCCGGGTGTGGAGGTGAAGCAGGACACTGGATGCGATGGGGTGTCGAACTGGAAGCCAACAAGCCGGAAGCTCTGCTGCTGCCGTGTGGCGGCTGTACTGGGTGTTGGAAAGGCAGCGAGTACTGCGGCTTTGCGCTGTCATGATCACAGAGTGACACCTTCCACAAACATCACTGCTGTGATCCTGTATGTTAGGCTGTCTCTCACTCGCATTTAAATAAAGTTTGTCCAAAAATATGTTTAAAGAGCTCTGCCTCAGGTGTTGGCCTATATATGAGATTCCTGTTATATTTCCTTTGCCTCCCACTCGCCGAGAAACGAACAAACATGTCTATACATCAAGTGGATTGTGCTTTTCTTTTTCCCCCCGCCGTTTTTCTCCCGCTTGGAACTGAAGTCCAGAAGCCTTTGGCATTGCTGAAGGTGACGCGTCTCTGATAACCAGCCTGCTGAACGCGCCTTGGCGGCACGTGAGCTCGCCTGCCTGATGATTTAGGCTCATAATCACCGCCGGCATACAAATGAATCGCCAGGCAGTAGCTGCAGTCAGGTATGAGACAATAATTTCACGGAACCCCTTTCTCCCCCCCCCGCCCCCCCGTTGTTGTTGCTGTTGTTGTTGTGGGCGCAGGCTTTTGCACGATAAATCAGGTCACTCTTGATGTATTTAGTAGTTTACTTTACACCCTGAAGCTCACGACTGCTTCACGAAGCCGTGTGTGACGTGGCCCGTATAAATGTTACGGCAAACACAGAATATTCCCAGTCCATTACCGGAATGACGGGCGTTCCGATGGCGGGCCTCAGTTTTATGATCGAGTGTAACGTAGTAGACGGCTACCTTCCGTGAATTATGCTTGGGGCAGACAGGACTTATATAAGTGTAATTATTATAGAAACCACAGATAAAAGAGAGCAGGGATGATTGAGGCAGACTCAAGCTGATTTAATTTCAACGTTCTGCAACCTGCAGCCTGCCCAATAGACTGATATGGAGATGTTTGTGAGGGGCCATGCTGAATTGGATGCTTAAATTGCATCTCTTTCTCATCCGCTTTGAACCGCCTGCATCCCCTTGCATGCAGCTGCGGTACTGGATCATTCTCCATCTCCTAAAATGCTCGGCTTTAGCGAGCAGGAAGAAATGGCCCAGGAAGAATTTGAAGGATGTTAGGCTGAAAGCCCGCGGAGCTACGTGACAGGGACAGGGGAACACAGTGGGGGGAAGACTTGGTGCATCTAGAGTCCACCTGAGGTGACGTCTGACCTCTCCTGGCTCACAATCCTCAGTGATGGCTTAGCATGGTTGTCAGGTTCTAGAATCTGAATAAAAACAAACCCACTGTTAGACTCTCTTTAGGGCTTCGTTCTGGGCGTCCGTTTACGTGAAGGATTAATGGATGGACCAGGACAAATTGCATCATGTCAGCGACGAATGGATTATGAAGGCAGAGACATGTCAAGCCTACGATGGGAAATTTGTGAGAACCTAGAAAAACACACAGGGAGGTCCACACACTGGGAGCTGGAGCCAGATTACAAACTGTAAGCTGTGTTTTTACCTCTTCATTATACATTCACGATGAAGACGAGCGTCGATGGTGATGGTGCTGGCCGAACAATGATTGGTTCAGAGAGAGAACCAATCAGATCGTAGCAACTAGAGGATGCTGGACCAAGACATTTGTTGGGACCAAGACCTCCTCTGGTTGCTTGGATCCATCTCCTCTACAATCTGATTGGTTATCTGCCTGAATCAATCATTTTTCGTTCTGCCCTCAGGATATTTTCCCAAAATTCCCATGAGCATGAAGAGGCCGGTGCATCCTGGACAAAAGCCATCCCTTCCTGTGGCTGACCCTGGGCTTGCCGAAACCAGAGTCCCCAGCAAAGCAGGGGAGAAGAGGTGAGCCGTGTGGAAAAGGTGAAGGTACCGTCCTGCGTCCTTTTCACCTTGTTGCGGTTGCGGTTCTGACTCTGACGGCGGAGTGTGAAAACGGCACCAGCTGGTCACGACGACTCTACTTTACCTTCACTCGCTTCACCTCCGATATGCGTTTCTTCGGGGGGAGGGACGGGCCTTCTATGCCGGGGAGCTAATCTGGAGCTGACTTTGCCAAGTTCCATTCCCACCGTGGGCTGTAAATACCCGCCTGGCTTCTATTTTTACGGCGGGCAGCTGGCGCTCTCTGTTATTTCTGGGAGGTGATAGGCTACCGACCCAGAGATTGCACTCTGCTCGTGATGTAATGGCCTTGGATATCGACCAGAGAAACAGGCCCTTAAATATAGACCTCCGCCTCGATTTAGCCAGCAGGCCGCCAGCGCGGGCACGGCATCAGCCTCACAAAATGACGCATTTCACAAAAGAGTGTCCACTACATTATTATGTGCTTTCAATCTCACTCTTTGTACAGTAAAAGCAACATTGCACTGTTGTGTTGCCACAATTTAGTCTATTCTTGGGAACCAGTAATGGCATGCTGTATACAAAGAACCCCAATGGCCAAATAATTGTCCATATGAAACCCATAAGATGAGGTAACGTTTTTTTTTTTTTCTACCAGTTTTCTTCTGGCTGTACATAAAAACATTCATTTTGGAGCCGCATTGATTTTTTTTTTATTTTTATTTTCGCAATAAACACTTTTTTTCAGCCTGTCGTTCAGGAGCTGTGAGCAGACAGCAGACTGGAGACGTGGCATTGAACCTCACACGATAAGTGGCAAGGACCCCAGCCAACATCTGCGTCCCGTCGGGCCCCAGGACTCTGAACCACGGCCCGACATCGCCGGCGTGACCTCACGGCTGCGGCCGCAGTTCCGTTCGGATGACACTTGACCTCCCCTCTAATGATGCGATTAAAAGCCCGCAGGTCGGTCGGTGAGGTCGGAGCTGTCTCCTTACACGGCGTGCCTCGCGGGGGGGCCGTGACGGAACCCCGGCATGATGGCGGCCACGTGCGGGACTGAAATGTATCGTGTTCCGACCCCACACTGCAGCACCGTGGCAGGACTCTCAAACGTTCACGCTGTACCGGGAACATCCTGTCTGTGACTCTCTGTTAGACTGACTGTCACGTCCAGCCTGTGTGAACTGGAGGCAATGAAACCAGTATAACTTTCAGGGATTTTAGCTCCCATGCTGGCCTACATACACCTGACTGTCAATGCAATTCGCCATTCTCTGTAGAACGTTTCCATCAGAAATACACTCTGTCACTCAAAGCTATATATTCTGAACTACATGTGCTTCTTCAAGATAAATGCACTCCAGTGTATTACATTGTGCTGAAGTGGACGCAAAAAGAGCCCCACTGCATTTTAAAACCCTCGTTCTGTGGCGATCCCCTTAAAAAATTAATGAAACGACACGTAGCCTTTTTATTATGATCCACGATTCCCTAATCTTGAAGCGATAGAAAGCCAATCACATAACAGCAAGCCTCCACACGTGGCCATTAGTCATCATGTCTTCGACACTTCACGAGAATTGGGTCATTTTTTCAAATTAAAAACAGCTGTTTGTAAATAAACACCCGCAGACTGAAGACGAACTGCTCTCTTACTTTGATGTATGGAGAAATTAGGAAGCAGTGCCTTTGATATAGCGATCATGTGCAGTGGGAGCCTTGTGTCACTCCTCGGGGTCAAAGGTCACAGGAACGGAGTGGCTGACCTGGCGATGCCCAGTGTTTGACCTTGGGGTTGCTGGTTAGAATTCTCTTTTCTTCTTCCACCACTATCATTTCATGAAGATGCTGCAGTGCCGGCAGTGTGCTGACAGGGACTAAGGAGGAACCAAAATTTCGATCCCCCCGCCTAGATCTGCTTTTCTGCTTCGTTTGGTTGCAGAGCTTGTGTTGTTTATGGACATTCTGGGTGATTACATATAGGTGTGGCGCGTGCCGAGAGACCCTGAACGACCCCTGAAGACTTTAACTGTTCTTTGGCTGCCTGCAGAAACATCTGAAGGGAAAATATGCTGAGGTGTGGATTTGTGAAGCTGCTGTTCAACATTTAAGTAGACTGTTTTCTCATGGTTATATGTCACTCTTCGGGGCTTTGGTGTGCAGTTGCCCAACTCTAATTAGATACTTTTATTGGCTTGGACGCGGCTCAAGGACCTTGTTTTGGGCACGTGTCCAGCTTCTTGGCCGCTGCACTACCTATGGCAGCCGCCTTGGCTGTGGGAACCGTAATCTTATTATACAAGGGTCTCGCGGTCTTTAGGCTGTTAGATTCCCATTTGTAAATAAGCCTAAGATGTACAGAAACTCAACAACGCCGGATGTGCTCTTGCAGGCAGCCGGGGGGCGCTGTGGAGTGACCGAGTATCCTGGCGGCTCCTCGGAAAACGGAGCCGAACTTATTTCCACATCCCGCGACAAGTACGGAGAGCAGAAGAGGGTAATTATAGGGCGACCGCGGTGCTTCGCTAAATCGGAGGGGATCACTCGAGGGGAGGCCTAAGTGAGGGTGGCAGCTCTCACTCCCGCGGTCATTATGGAGGAGAGAGGTGAGGACCGGGGAGCTGGAAGCGTTCCGTGGCGGCTGTGAGAGACGCTCTGCGCTCGTGCCAGTCGTGCCGCCGTCCTGATGATTCTGCTAACCTTGATGGTCCTGAATATCACGCGGAGCCTCTATCTTAAGGTCTCTGTGCCTAAAAAGGAAGACGTACAAGGCCTGTCTGTGCTCATCACTGGGCTTTGGCACGAATGAAATCATTTATATTTGCACAGTGCACAGATTAACCAAACCAGCTGTCAAACATTGTCTCCCTGTGCAAGAAAAAAAAATATACACACAAACACACACACACACATATACAGGAAAGTGTTTAAATCTCTGTTAAAGGGCATCTTTATCACCTAGCTCCCATATGGAATAGGTAGGCCTTACCTCCCATCTGCAGGCGCACAGTATGTGAGTCACATCATCGGTGGAAGGCTGCTCTGATTGGTCGACTTTCAGCTACTGCAGAGTGACAGCAGGATGCCGGCCTGCCACGGATACTCTCTCAAAGCGGGCCTCGCTTTCATGATGGTGGCTCGTTGCGGCTTTAGGAATGAAGGCGCCGTTCAGAGGCTGTTTATCACCTGCCGCTGCCCATTACTCAGGTGGTACCTGTGCTCCAGCGGCTACACAGATGGACGGGTGAGGGGGGGACATCCTGCTGGGGATCCACGACTGATGGTCTTTGCGGTGGCGAGACTGATACAGGCTCACACTTCTGGGTAAGTGCATGGGTGCCGCATTGCATGCACCTGCATGTCTGTGTGCTCCCTTGCGTGAGGCATTTCCGCGTGCGGCATCGCAGTGTAGCTCATGTTTTGTTTAGGCGTGTTTTTACCGTGTTCGTGTAGGTATGACACGCGTACATGTGTTGTTTCAGTGGGCGTGTGGAGGCTTCTTATGTGTCTCCGCAACAAATTTGTTTGCCGTTCAAGGCATTTGTGCGCACATGCATTGTGAGTGCTGGGTGCCTATGCATGTTTACTGTGAATCTCTGACAACTGGTTTGTGATGCACACCAAGGTGACCTTTGGTGACCCTTCTTACACGTTGGGCCTTTCAGATTTACTTATACTTCAGAATTTGTTGTCAGGAAGCCCTAAAGCAGGCAGTCTTATATCCTTACCGGAAAATGTCAATGCCCAGATTTCAGTGCTATTTTTACTAAAATAAAGTTAGGGCCTCTAACCACTAGCTCTATATAGTCAGCTATTTCTCAACTTTTTCTTTTCCTTTTCAGTTTTCCCAGTGTACCACACACCGAATAGACGGTATCTTTAAAGTGCAGAATGCGTACAAAATGTCCAATTTGTCTGGCTAAGCAAATAATTGCCTCAATTAATTAAGCAAGTCCTGGGTGACTGGAGGTGCAGATTCCATTAACATCTGCAGAAAGGACATTCCACCACTAGAGGGCACCGTGCAGGTGACCTTGATGCCCGTGTCCGTCAGGCCCGTGGTACTTCATATTCGTTGGGGAGTGCTATAGAAAGTGTCAGCTCGGAAGTTTGCTGGGTTTTATGTACATCTGCCATCATTATCCACTGAGCAGCTAATGGCTCCTGAAAACAGGCGCTATTTTCATGAAACACCAAGGTGCATTTCCGGAGATGTTGCCGGATTCAGTATAAGACAGGGATAAGCAAGAAGGGTAAGGTGAAGGTTAACCGGCGGAAAAGTAGATTGTGATTCTCATTTCTGCCACTTGATGTCCAAACCCCTGCAAAACCAATTTTTTCTTTATTCATCTGTGTTTCTCGGTCTGGATTAAGGTTGACTAATAACCGAGCTGAGATACTCACACCTTATTATCCGAACTGCCAATGGCAGGGAATTAGAGCTGGAAACCACTGACCTGAAATCGCTCCAGTGACCCAAGGATATGAGCCGCTGCACAACAGCCGGAAAAGGATTAAGGCCGGCCAGCCTGCTGCCTTAGCGTCCGCATGCAAAGACCCCCTCTAGTGGCCACTGGCAGAATTTCAGCTTCTAGGATGCATTGCTTAGATTTGTTTTTTATTTATATAGATGTGTTTTTTTCTGTAAATATATGCCCAAGAGGTGTGAGTGAATCCTGGATGCGGTGGACATAATTGCTGTTTGCAGATTAAAATGAGATCCTTGGATTCTGAGGTATTTGAAAACCGAGTATAGCTTCTAGTTTAATGCAGGCTGCTAACAGCTAGCCGCAGTTAACAATGCAATTGTTTGCTGGTTGTTAACAAAACAATTTAAGGGAGCTATACGTGCTAGGTTACACGCTAGCTACGGTTCAGTATGCATTTCACTGAAATTTCCTGCATTATACTTTTTCGGCCGGAAATCGGAATCCCTTGCTTTCTGGAAAGGCTTATGTGCCTTGAAGGCGGCCGTGACATTGCGCTGATCCAATCGTTCCGTACCGCTCCCTCACGGCGAGGTCCGATCTACTGGACTGATCCTGTAGACAGTTCATTTAAAGACTAGAACGACCGCAATAACAAAACCAATAAAATCAGGGCGCAAAACAAAAGGTAAAACATCGTACTATGAAAACAGAAGCAGAACAAGGAGCTTTGCATGTCGTTACTGTGCACGGAGATGCATGCCGCTTCGTCCTTTGACCGTTCTTGAATGTTATATATGGTTGGCAAGCAGTCAATTCCGCCCCCATTATGGTAAGGCGCATTTCTGCAAGCACCCTCTCCGTGACTTGGGCTGGGGGGGGGCTGTCCAGATTGCCGGTGGACTTCTCTTCTTCCCCATATTCAGGCTGCTGACAGTGGTGCTGAGCAATGTGAAACGCTTCATCTTTCTTACATCCCCCCCCCCCATGTGTCAACAGCCCAGCCCAAAGGGGGTAACCCCCTCAAAATGATTATATAGACCGGCCCAGCCCCCCACGCCCATTCGTCTTCATCCACCCCCTGCACCAAGCAGCGCAGCGTCTGCGCCGAGGTGACGGATGTCCGTGATGAGCCGGCCAGGAGCCCCAAAACTCATTTCATTTGTGACCCAAACTGGGTGTTAATCCCAGACCTGCACCAGTAAAGGTGTGAGAGGCTTGATGAATTGACTTTCAGTGGTTCATGCCTGCCGGTATCGCCATGTCTTCCAGAGGAACCGAGAGGGAGAAAGCAAGAGAGAGAGAGAGAGAGGCCACGTCCATGACGGACACGAGATCGTGTCTGAGAGACGAGCTCGCTCCAGACACTGTCCAGACTGCCCGGATTGACTTTTCAATTAGTGTGATCAAAGCCAGGCTGTAACATGGCAGTGATTTGATTAGCTCCGTCGGGGGGATGTTGTATGTGGCGCAATGGGAACGCTGCTCGAAGCCTCTTTAGTATTGCCGGCTTGTTTACGGCTTTTGGACTGCAGCAGCGAACCCCCCACCCCCCCACCCCCTGCTTCAGGAGTACAACTCCATTCATTCACTTTATTGTTGTATAGCACAGGGCACCTTGCACAGCAAATATATATAAAACAGAGAAGACAGCTTGTTCTGTTGACCCAGCGGAAACAATGCACCTCTGATTTAATAAATTGTTTCAATTGTTAGATTAGGTAGATTACACACTTAATGCAATGCTTTTACTGTAGACACATTTATAGTTAGTATTTGTATATATTGAAACACATATATTATGCATTCATATAAATTGCTCTTTCTGACTATTGTCTTCAAAATTTGGTTAGCAGTAGGGCTGGTATATTGTGATAGACGTAAATCATAGAGATGGATTACAAGGGATTATGGTATTCTTTATTTTCCATATGAAGATATATCTATGAGTGAAAGGAAAGTTATCATAACAGAAATTAAAATGGCTTCATTCGTTATTTTATCCAGGCCCAGGGCTAACACTTAAATTTCCATATAAAGTAATGGAACAGCATATTATTCAACTAATACTGACTTCCCATTCTTCCATTTTTCTTCAGCAGGGAATAGCGGGAGATTTATTGCTTGCCTTATTTTGTGGTAATATCTGTGGCATTAATGTTTTATCCCCCGCACACCTCTCTTGGGGACCCTCCCCGGTGAAAGGTTCGCTGGGATCACGCCGAGGTGGGCCAGTGGCTACGGCCTGGAGCGCATCCCCGCGTGGACCGGGACCTCCGTCTTCCGCTCGATGTGAAGAGGAGTTTTGTCGAGCAGCGTGTGTGTGGAGCAGCAGGCGGGAGGGGCGCCTCAGACGGACAGCGGGGCTGTAAATTCACTCTTTGGAGTGGGGGGGAGAGAAAGCCATTAATGCCGTGATCGTTCGTTTTCCCCCGTGCTCCTAATCCATCTCACAGGGAATAGCCATGTCGTCCTTAGTGGAAATGTACACCTTAGGCCAGTCATCCATTCCCTCTCTGTCTTTTCGCATTATGCCGGAGCGGAAAAAGTGAGCAAATCCGCTCGGCAAACGCGCACAGCCCGTTTTTTTTCCACGACTTGCTCCAGTCGGCCAAAACTTCACGTAGAAACTGTGCCATATTATATAAAATATAGGCAAGAGTGAGTTGGGTGTTTGAGTCACACTTATTGCCCTGAAGGTGCCCCAAACTTGGTCCATAAGGGTCCCAGGATTTGTAGAGGTTTACCTGTGGAGCATGGTGCTGTTTGTAACTTAAGTAAGACGAGATGAAGGTCCGCACTCTCTGAGTGTAACTTGAATGCCTTCAAGCCGATGACTGCTTTTGTTCAGCGTGACGGACCAGTTGTTTTTAGTGGATGGGGGCTAACTGACCCTCGTCTGTGGGACCTGGGAATTTAAGGGGACAGGAGCACACGACTTGTCATTCTATGTCCGACTGCTCATGAGAAGACGTTAGGCCTACTTGTCCATCAAATAGCCTGTCCCTGAGGGCGACATTATTAATTCAACAATAACCCTCCATGCCAAAAACGTACATGGTGCTGACAGTCAAGCGGAGGATTCTGGGAATTTCCCCTCTGTCCAGCCTCCTGTTGAAGCTGCTTGTGAATAGCTGAAATGTAGACGTTAACAAACAGACAAACGAGCATGACATGAGGCAGACGCCTCTGTATTATATTGATATAGGACGCCCTGCTGCTTATACAGCATGATTTAACACAGCTATTGCAGAGGTTCTGTCCCCGAAGCTTGCTGTACATATTTATGTGGCATTAATAACCCACGGCTCGACACAGAGTGTCACGGTCGCCCATAGCCTGCACAAACCACTGCGGTAATGGCTTAGAAATCATCGCCGGCTTTTCCTGCGATTGGCCTGCACGTGGTCTCCCAGAGACAGACGACCGGCATTTGACCACGTGGGTAAATCTTAAGGCTTGGGGGCTGAACGCGGGGGATCACGCTCTATCCAAACCCGACTGGCTAATTGGAATAATTGTTTGATGAATGGCAGTCATTTCCTGTCTATCTGCAAGCTTCAGCTCTCTTTCACAGGTATTATAAAGCACCTTTGATCGAGCACATCTCCATGGCCTTTGAGGGGAAAAGGAGTCCCTGAATGTTAAATATGTACAATTGTCCAAATAATTGGATTAATAAAGTAAGAGTAAAAGCCTGAGCTGAGATAAATGTGGAAATCCTTCATGATTTGAAGGCTGAAATGTAGCACTTTATCAGCCTTGAGAGACCTTGAGGCTGCTGCCATCGCTGGGGTCACCACGGAACCGCCCACCCTGCCTCGTCGCCTCGGACCCGTCCGCCCAGCCTCGTCGCCGCGGACCCGCCAACCCAGCCTCGTCGCCGCGGACCCGCCAACCCAGCCTCGTCGCCTTGGACCCGTCCGCCCAGCCTCGTCGCCGCGGACCCGCCAGCCTAGCCGCGTTGCCGCGGACCCGCCAGCCCAGCCTCGTCGCCTTGGACCTGTCCGCCCTGCCTCGTCGCCGCGGACCCGCCCGCCATGCCTCGTCGCCTCGGACCCGTCCGCCCTGCCTCGTCGCCGCGGACCCGCCCGCCATGCCTCGTCGCCTCGGACCCGCCAGCCCTGCCTCGTCGCCGCGGACCCGCCAGCCCTGCCTCGTTGCCTCGGACCCGCCAGCCAAGCCTCGTCGCCGTTACACAACTGCCAGATGCGTTTGTTCCTCTTGGCGAACAGAAGCACAAAAAATGTGGATGATGTTAAATTGTGAACTTTATACATTGTATGAAATGCATTTACCTCATTTACATTTACTCATTTAACAGATGCTTTTTATCTACTGTGATACAATATAGCTATACAATATTTACAATATAATTATACAATATATACAACATGGTCATACTGCTGCTAATTCATTTTATTTATAAGAAAAATCTATTGGCAAGTATAAGCTGAGAAATTTGTCTGGGTTCAGTCAGAAAGAGTAAACAGACACAAATGCAAAACTATTTCTCTTGGATCGGAATACTTGTAGGTAGTGGGATCACAGGAGGAAGGATGTTAGTTGTTTGACTGCTGTAAACCTGGGATCCTCTCCCCTGCAGAAGGTCTATGGACGTCACAGGCTTGCAGACGACCTTGCGTGTGTGTTCTTCTGCAGGTGCTGAAGTTCGTCCTGTCGCAGATAAAGGGTCGAGTCGGTGACTTGAGACACTTCATAACTGAGCACATGGGAATCTGTGGCTTGAGATTGGGCGGGCAGAGCCTCGGGGTTTAGCCGCATTGATGTGCAGCTTTCTCTCGACGTGTTAAAAATACACATATGCGGTATATTTCTGATCGATCGTACCCAAGCCCTGTCTCTGCTGCCTGTGAGCAACTCATCTAGAGAGTCACTGCTGTGGGTCTTGTGCCATTAGGCTTGCTGAGAATATTTCAGGACTAAGAAGTGGTGCATGTGTATATATACACGCACACACATGCACACACATACACAGGTTTGTAATTATATCTTTGTGGGGACTCTCCATTCATTTCTATGGGGAAAACTCTAATCCCAACATAACAACCTTAACCCCTACCCAGCTCTAACCTTAACCATAAGTAACCAAACAAAATATGAGACTTTTTTTTATTGCATTCACAGATCTTTGGGGGGACCTGAAAAATGCTTCCCACAACATCAAAAAGACAGGTTTTTATTACATTGTGGGGCACATTTCGTCCCCACAATGTAATAAAAACATAATACACACACACACAGTCAATCCTGCTACAACGCGAGTAATGCATTCCTGAAAACCTTCATGTTCACTGAAATCACATACTGAAATACACATATCCAATGGGAAAAATAGGGTTAGGTGAATGTGACTCCAGAACTTAGCAAATTATATTGGGTCGGTCCCCCTCGTGCCACCAAAACAGCTCTGACCCGTCGAGACATGGACTCCACAAGACCTCTGAAGGTGTCCTGTGGTATCTGGCACCAAGACATTAGCAGCAGGTCCCTTAAGTCCTGTAACTTGTGAGGTGGGGCCTTCATGGATCGGACTTGTTTGTCCATCACATGCCGCATCTGCTCGATCGGGATCTGGGGAATTTGGAGGCCAAGTCAACACCTTGAACTCTTTTCCATGTTCCTCAAACCATTCCCGAACAACGTGTGTGTGGCAGGGCAGGTTACCCTGCTGAAAGTGGCCACTAACATCAGGTAGTAGCACTGCCATGAAGGGGTGCACTGCAACAATGCTGAGGTAGGTTATACGTGCCAAACTAACATCCGCATGAATGCCAGGACCCAAGGTTTCCCAGCAGAACATTGCCCAGAGCTTCACACTGCCTCCGCCAGCTTGCCTTCTTCCCATAGTGCATCCTGGTGCCATCTCCTCCCCAGGTAAACACACGCACCGGGCCGTCCACATCATGTAACAGGAAATGTGAAACATCAGATCAGACCACCTTCTTCCATTGCTCTATGGTCCAGTTGTGATGCTCTTTCAGTGGTGGATAGGGGCGAACATGGGCACTGGTCTGTGGCTACGCATCCCCATACACAGCAAGCTGCGATGCACTGTGTGTTCTGCCACCTTCCTATCATAGCATAGTGTTAACTTTGTCCTACAGTAGCTCTCCTGGGGATTAGACCAAACAGGTTGGCCTCACAAGACCTGCCCCTTTGAAGATGCTCTGACCATCACAGTTTGGCCCGTGTCACAGTCAGTCAGATCCTTAAGCTCCTAAAGATTCTTTATGCACACACACACACACACACACACACATATATATATATGAGTATAAGG